GATGGATGCTTCCAGCTCAATCGTGGTGAGTAATCGTGGATGTGACACGAGGGACGGGGACACGGCCACCCTGGCGTGGCATCGGAGGGACGCCCGGCCACGGGCTGGCCGCTGCGACCCTGGAAATGCAGGGGTCCGGTGTAAAACCGTGTGAAACTGGTGTAAAACCATGGAAAACCGGTGTAAAACTGGTGTAAAACCATGGAAAACCAGTGTAAAACTGGTGTAAAGCCATGGAAAACCATATGAAACCGGTGTAAACCATGTAAAACCATATAAAACAAGTGTAAACAATGTAAAACCATGTAAAACCAGCATAAAGCTATGTAAAAATGGTGTAAAACCGGTGCAGTGGCATCCCCAAAACTCCACATCCCAGCTGCAGTTGTAGGAGAGGGAGGCCAGCCTTTAGAAAAAAATAAATAACCAATTGGGAATATAAACTGGGAAAAATAAATTGGGAAAATAAATAATTGGGAGCATTTCGTGCCCAAGCCGCCTCGGGCAAGCTCCCTGCTTCACCTAAAGCAGAAAAGCATTTTTCTTCAGAAATACCCTGTTGTGCAGAGCCCGGGCTGGAGGTACCGGGATTACTCACGGCACGCAAAATTAAGTGTGTAGGAAAGTCTTTGTGTGCCTGGGGAGGAGGCTCGGGCCGCCCAGCCAGGCTCGACGCGGGGGTTACGGGGTGACTAAGTCACCAGATGAGTAAATCATCACCTCGGTCTCATTCTGCTGCTGAACGTGTCCCAGCTTCAGATTAAAACCGGCGGAGCTCCGGGTGCTGGGGATTTCCTTCTCAGGGTGACGGGGCTCGGGTGCCAGCGGGGACGTTGTGCCAGGCGTCCCGGACGCAACGGGTGCAGGCCTGGCCTAACCAAACACCTGTGATTAAATTAAGCACAGATTAAGCCGTTTGCAAGCCTAGAACCTCCACCGTGACCCAGCAGTCGGGGTTCCTGGGCAGGACTCTTTTCCTTCCATCCCCCATGTGCTTTCCTTGGCTTAATTTCTCCTAACAAGCCGCAAAATAACACAAATAAATAATCAGAGGGATCACAGCTGAAAGCAGGACCCTGCTGCCCAGGGGTGAGAGCCCCAGGCGCGAGGAATCTCAAGCTTAAACAGAAAAAGACGGACAAAGGGCGAGGGAAACAAAGATTTCTCTCTCCTTCCGCGCAGCGAGAGCAGGGCCTTGTTTAAACTCGGTCCCTCCTATCTCTGCCAGGGTTATTGTTGATTTTCCTCCGCAGAGGATGAGGACTGCCTCGCATCGAGGCTTTGGGCGGTTTAACCTCCTCGTTCCGTGCTTCTGATTTTACTTTTCAACAGACCCAGACATTTATAAAGGAGTAAAAAAAAAAAAAAAATCTGCTGGGGAGATCCCAACACGTCCCAAGAATTTCAGCCCAAGGGGAAGGTGCTTTGCTGGGGAAGTGACGGCAGCAGGGGCCTGATCCACAGAAAATTCCCCGCTTCCATCATATCGTGGCTGTTTTCCATTTTGGTTTCCATTAGATTTGGAGAGTGGGTGGGCAGGGTTGCAAACAAAAGGGGCTTAAACGCCTCTGTGACACCTTTTGGGGTTCAGGCCCCCTCGACGAGGGGTTCGCTCTACAAGTCACCGCACAGGCGCGCGGGTCACAGCCGAGACAACAGCTCGCTGTGGGGGACAGGGAAGCTACAGTCCCAGGGAAAGGGGTTTCTGTGCTGCCACAAAGCAGACGGGACCTGCTGCAAGCCGAACTGGCCCCAGGGCCGCAGGAACATCCTCCTCCTCCTCAGCGTCCTGGTGGCGGTATCGCTCGGCTTCGCTCTTACAGGTCTCGGCTGTGTAAAGAGCGGGGAAAAAATGTCCCTGTAAGTGTCACAGCTAGGGAAAACCATTTCCCCTTCCCTCTTGTTCCCAGAGGCCTCAATGCCTATTTTTAATTATTTTTAATGCTCATCAGTCCTTCAGAACAGGGCAGGAGGGGTGAGACAGGGCACATTAGTTGGGTTTCACACCGCTTGAAATGATAAAGGGCTCGCATCACAGGATACGCTTCTCATTTATCTTGATTTTGTTTTAATTACTTATGCTAGGACTTCGCAGCAGCTTGGCAAATTACTTCCTCGGGCTTTGCGTTGGGGACCCAAATTCAGAGCCCGGCTCTTTTCTTATTAAGGCCAGAACAAACCAGGAGGAGGCCACTGGAGTCAAACCTGAAGTCAGTGGAGAGCTAAAGGAATAAACCTGCTGCGAGGGAGTCCTGGCCAGGGCCCCTGCTGCCACAAAAGAGAACTCCCACCTCCAGAAAAGCCCTCCACCAAGACTCACAGCCCTGCCTAGGCACGGCTCCTGCCTTAAAATTAAAGAGGCAGGGATGAATAGGCAGGAAGGGAGCCAGCTAGCTGGCGGAGAGCTGCCCACCCCCCGTCGCTCTGTCCCCCTGCAGTGACACAGCAGCCGGGGGACCCACCGGCCTCTCCGGGCACGCCGGGAGCTGTAGTCCCCCGCTCCATGTCCCGGTTTGGCGATGAACTAAGCGGCCTGGCGAGCAGGGCGGGGAAACGGCCCGGGGGAGGGCGGCGGGGAGCGCCGGGAGCTGTAGTTCGGGGGAGGGCAGCCGGGCCCACGGCAGCCGGGCAGGGCCGGGCGCCCCCCGGGGGACCTTGGGGCGGGGGCCACCC